AATCTTTCTTGACCCCATTTAATGATTGTGGATTTGACTTCTCCTTTGTATTATATTAATACACTACCACTGTTTTTTTTTGTATTGTCCTCATATTAATTTTTATTCTTTTAATTTTAAACTTGCTGAATCATTTCTTAGGCATGTCTTTTTATAAGCCGGATCTATTTGTTACCAAATCTGAAGGTGTTTTCTTTTTGGTACGTGAGTTTATCCTGTTTCTACTGATTGCCATAACTATTATGCTTGGCTTTATTTTTGTTATCTTATTGTTATTATTTCCATTTTCTTTGTGATTTTTTTTGTGTTTTGCAATATAAACTCTATTTTGTTTGATTTTATCTTTTGAAGGAATTTGGAAAAGAAAAATCTTGTTTTAAACGGTATAAGCAGTTGTCTTTTAAGTTTGTCAGATAACTATATTTAGCATTTGTTTTTCAACTTGTCTAGTTGAACTCCTCTTGCACCCAACTAGTAACTTAGCACAACTTTCCTTCCCCTGCTCACCTTCTCTCTGTTCACTTTCTCATCTCGCCTGGGGATATTGATCCAGATTGTTATTGTACAACTATTCCATTTTTATTATATATCTTTCCCCATATTTTATTTAGGCTTTTCCAATATATCATAAAGCATTTAACAGCAATTATTTTTATTTATGTTTATGTATTTAATTTAAATACTCACTGTCAGTCCTTCTTATACTATGATTTCCCCACTATTATCGTCCTGTTTTGCTTCAGTAGTGATCCATCTAGAGAATGGCTTTTGGTGTTTGATCAGGATGGATAAAAGGGCAGGGAAACTCTGATCTTGCACAGGAGGTTGCTTTTCTGTCTTCACACATGAATGACAACAATTTGTCTATACATAAGACCAGTTGGCTGCAGCCTTTTCTCATCAACATTTTGGAGTCATTGCTCTGTGGATTTCTCTAGTTTTTTTAGATGGGACATTTGAAGCTTGTCTGATTTTTATTCATTTGTAGGTAACTTTTATATTATCATGGCTATATAATAAGATTTTTAAAAATCTCTATTTAAAGACATTCCAGAACATGTGTGGACATAGCATTTATTTTAATTACTGTAACTCAATGAGCCCAATTAATCTTCCTATCTGAATAATTTATTTTAGATCAGCAAAGTTTTATTTTTAATATTTAATTAAAATTTATTTAATCAAATTAATATTAACATTTAATTATTGCTGCTGTACCTATTATCCTGGTTTTTTCTTCAGGAACCTCTATAAGTCATTCATGCAACAGAGATTTATTGAGTGTTAACTATATACCAGGCACTATTCTTGGCCCTTGGGGTTTCATCAATGAGCAAGAGAACAACCTCTGTTCTCAAGGAGCTTAAATTCCTGCCAAGAGAAACAGACAATAAGCCATAAACTTAATAAATATGTAAATTATGTGAGGAAGCACATGGGTTAGGGATGTGAGGAAGGTTGTGGTACTAAATTGAAGGTGAGGAGGTTACGGTAGCCCTTTTGAGAGGATACATTTTTTTCTTTTTTTCAGGTTTTGCATTTTTAACCTTCACTGATTGAAATCTGGTCCCTTCTTTCTGCTTCAGGTGCTGTTTCCAAGTTCATATGCTACATCGGTGATTTGATTTTAGCACCAGTCCTGCTCTGTTTTATCCCTGTGCTATTACCTCCTTTGCTTTTCCCTGCAATTTTTTTTTGGAGACAGAGTCTCGCTCTGTTGCCCCAGCTAGTGTGCTGTGGCATCAGCCTAAGTCACAGCAACCTCCAACTCTTGGGCTCAAGCGATCCTCCTGCCTCAGCCTCCCCAGAAGCTGGGACTTCAGGTGTGCACCACCAGGCCCGGCTACTTTTTTCTATTTTTAGTAGAGACGGAGTCTCGCTGTTGCTCAGGCTGGTCTCAAACTCCTGATCTCAAGTGATCCTCCCGCCTCAGTCCCCCACAGTGATAGGATTACAGGCCTCAGCCACCGCCCATCCCCCCTGCAATGTTAAACGCCTGCTTTCTATGTCTGCTTCCTCTCAGCTTGTTTTCTGTCTGTGGCTCCCTCCTTTTGCTTAGTAGAAGTCATGTGCTTCTGTACTGTTTTGTGGATGATGAATAGATAGCTTTTCAACATTTCTATTTTCTGAAGACAATTACACTTCCTGAGAAAAAGATATGCTTTTTCTGTTTCCTTCTGTAGTAGTGCCTCTTCACAGGCCCCTTCTCATTTTATTCATTCATCCTTCATAGAAGCCACCTCAGTCTCGTGCCTGCCACAAGACAGGACCCAGACCCTATAGCCTCACCTCCCCGATAGTACCCGCCCCCGGCTCAGGCTTGGAGCCAGGTGTGAGGCACACGTGCTGTTTCCTTCAAAGTTGGGCAGGAGGCTACGTCCTCCTTCCTCAGACTCTGAAGATGACGGATGAGTCAGAGGCCACTTTGCTCTTTGCTCTTTCCCGAAGTGGCGCAGCTCTGAACCCCTTGCCTCTGTACTCACATTCAAAGACAGCAAACGAACGGCTCTGCCTCAGCCTTCTACTTCCTACCATGGTGCAGAATAAAAGCAAAGAGTGTGCAGATAAAGCCAGAAGCAGATTGGCCGCGTGAGGGGTGAGCAGATGATCTTGGTATTCCGGATCCTGCTCTGGCCAGCTATAAAGGTGGCTTCTGCACAGTGAGCTACCTTCACACCAGTTTTCAGTGAGCTGTGTTCCTGACCCTCAGTCTCCTGTGTGGCACATTCTTTCCAAGTTAGGGGCTAAGCCTGTAAGTTACAGTCCAACAACGTTCTTCTCAGTATATTCCCATCATTGCTAGGCTTTGGCGTTGAGATAGTCTTTTATTTCTGCCATGTGCCGGTTTTGATCTTGGGTTGTTTCTGCTGACATTAAGAGGAAGAATGGCAGATACTACTAATCTGTCATGATACTATCAAGAATTCCCTGATTAACTGATTTATTTTTATATCTGGTTATAAAATAGGCTAGGCAGGCATTATTATCGACATTTTAAGGCTCAGAGAGGTGGAGTGACTGGCGCAGGGTCATGTGTTTAGAGAGATGGACCAGTCCCTGCGTTTACCCATTATCCTCCATTGATCCTCTCTGACCACCCTGTGGATTGTGATAATACATTTCAAATTTAAGGCTACTTTCCCCAGCAATACACAGTATGGTCCGCCTCTCAGAAATTCTGTCAACTCCGAGTTTGTGTGTGTGGTAAGAAATTGGTAAGGAATCAGTGAGACCATTTGTGTGTGTGTGTGTGTGTGAGAGAGAGAGAGAGATGGGGTAGTTACATAGCTCATTAGTGTCTTAACTGAAAGTAGAACTCAAATCTTCTCATTTCAGATTCAGATATTTTTCATTATTATATATGATACCATCTCCCTAAACAGAATTAGGAGAAACGTTTCTCTTGCCAGAAATTCTCTATTATGCATCTAAAATGGAATAAAACCCTCAGTGTCTGTCTTAGCCGCTGTGCTTGTCAGTTATTGTGATGACCAGGATGCAACATGTCACCTGCCATGGGTACCATGGAGAAAAAGGGCTTATTACATTTGGGGGCCTCCCTGTCATTGCACAGGGCTCCCTGTTGTCTATATCCTCCCGGGGGAGCTGCAGTCATGGAAATCCCAGGCTAACAAGCTGTTCACATAAGCGTGTGCTATCTGCATAATAAACACAGCCTTTCTGCTCATTGATTCGTGGTGGTGTCCTCATGGCATCTTGGTTAAGCAACAAATGTAAACGTGGCTGCCAACAACCAGCAGGTGCGCCCCCGCTCTGATAAGATGCTCCTTTCATTCTGTTCCTGCTCAGCCTTTATTTCCCACTCTAATACACATCAGCAAGTCCCCACCATACAAATCGTCGTCATTCTCCCAAGCAAGGCCACATCCAGTCAATGGGGAGGTCCCAGGGGGACAGATTCTGGGTGTGGTGGCTTTGCTACGACACAGGCATGCTGTCTCCTCTCCCCCAAATCACATCTGACCACCGAGGAGGGGGCCCTAGAGACTCATTTTGTGGATGGACTGGCATGAATGGGCAGATTCTTTCCCCACATACTCCAGAGAGTCCAGGTTCTGAGGAGTTTATGGGAGAGAGATTCATGGCTCCCAGGGGACAATGCCACCCCACCAGCTCCCTTTGGGGAACCGAGGCTTTGCAGGTTCACAGTCACAGAGGGAAGGAGCCGTGTAATGGGGCTTCCCACTCAGAGACATGTCTGCCAGCAAAGCTTCTGCTTCTTTTGACAGCGAAAGTGGGAGGGATTCTCTCTAGCAAAACTCATAAAAGATTACACAGGGACAGTTCCTTAGTAAATTACTCGGCCTGTCCTATAAATACATTACGATGGCTGATGAAGATTAAGAAAGAACGTTCTCACTTCAGCACTTAGCCTGGCCTCTAGAGCATGTCTGGGAAGGACCAGTGTGGGTTAAGGTCACAAAGAGGCAAAATGTAGGCCAGGAAGATGGCTCAGGCCCAGCACACCCTGTCCCTTATTGTCAGGCTGTTTTAAGGATAAATGAAGGCTTATTAGGGAAATTACAATAAGTAATCTAATAGTGTCACCCGCGTTTAACCAATATGTTTATCCCCTGAGAATTAGCTGCCTAAGGAGGCAAAACAATAGAAAGGTCATTGAACAGAATCTGCTCCCATGTTCCAAGCTTAAATTTAAAAAGATACAGACGGTAGTTCTCAACTGGGCAATGTCACAACTGGGGCGGGGGTGCCGTTGGCATTTGGTGGGCAGAGGCCGGGGTGGTGCTAAACATCCCATAGTGCACAAGGCGTTCTCCCTGCCCAACTCCCCCCGCAGTAGTGCTGAGCTTGGGAACCCCTGACGTGGACAGTCATTGCCTCCCCTCCCCGGCCCTGGCTGTGGACGGCATATCTCTGAAAATCATGGCTTCTCCCCCCACGTTCCCACCTAGTCCTCACTAGCCTTCTCCTAGGTGACGGCCCATTTGAGGAAAGCCCCACCCCTGGGTCACACTCACCTTTCCCTGCTGGTCCGTTTTGATCTCCCAGCCCCGGGGCAGTTCCAGCCGAGTGTCTGCGAACATGTTGATGAAATTCACCAGGTCCCGGTTGTGCTGGTAGCGCTCGAAATTGCGGGCGTCCCTCCGGACTTTCAGGATCATGTGCTTTAAGCAGGTGCTACTGGTGAAGACTCGGTAGGCACTCTGGGCGGGAGGAAGGAGGTAGGGAGGGGCAGTTAGGGAAATCACAGACCAAGTGTGCTGGGAGCACCTTAACAGGACCAAATGTGATGGCAACGCAGAGATTTCTTGCAAGCTGGAGACAGAGGCCTCAGGAGCAGAGATCTTGCTCAAGAAGTAAACTCGAGTCATCAACACACACAGACCTATTTGTGGTCCCAATTCTACCCGCTGCTCAGCAGCCTTGGGCACTGTCGGGGTCCCCCCACTCCGTGCATTTCAGCAACCTCCTCCCCCTTCTCAGCCACCCGGCTCTCTATGCACAGCCCTCTCTCCTCCACGGTTCCTTCTCTGGCTGGGAGCACTGCCTTTGGTCCTCTTATCTGCCTAAAGCAGGGTGAATTAATTTAGGGGCCCTGGGGATTTCAGCCTGGACTTCACACGTCTGCCATTCCTTTGAATCCTATGTAAAAGCTTGTGTGTGGAGAGGTTGGGGCATGAGAAGGAATGAAGAAAGTTTCAGGAGTTTCTAAATGTGTCACATGACAATTTTATGGCACACGAGGCTGGGTGTGTGTGTGTTTGTGTGTGTGCATGTGCTGAAAAGACAGACTGCGTGTAGCCGGGGAGGACTGGCCCCGTGGCTCCTGCAGGCTCAGAGCACACCTGGCGCCTAGTGCGGGGGGCACGGACACCTGCCACGCTTGTTCCCCTGGGTGGCTCCCCTGCACCCCTGGGAGGCTGCTCTGATCTAGCCACTGGACGTCTCTCAGGAAATAACCTGCTAGAAACTGGTTCCCCCCCCCATCACACCCTCCATCACCTAATCAAAGGACCACACCTGCCTGATGGAATTGCCACTAACGCAGGTGCGCAAAGCAGAAACCACTCAGTCTTTCTTGAGTCCTTGTCATCTGCCCTCCTGTGATCACAGGGGACCCCAATGCTACTGACTGCATGAGAAATGTGCCTGAATTGAGCTGTTCCTTGCTGTGCTCCTGCCCCTCCTTAGGTCAGGTCTGGCTCATCTCTCACTGGAGCGGCTGAATCAGCCTGTCTCAGCCTCCGCAGTCTCTCCCACACTCGGCCAGAGAAAGTGCTCCGTCAATCCCCCAGCTGGGGAGCCCTGTGCCTAAGACTCCTGTGGTTCCTGTTGCTGGTGGAAACAGCCCCAGGCTCCTTTTCCTGACCTCCCCACTGTGACCTCCCCACTGTGCTGCTACTGATCCTTCGGTCCTTTCCCTGCTCCTGCCAGCCATCTGCACTCAGCCCCAGCCTGCTCCCAGCAATGTCCTGTCCTTTCTAAAGGGCTGTCCCTCTGCCTGGACTTCTTTCTGTCCACTCTCAGCCTTCAGGGCTCACTTCAGCCATTCCCCAAGCCCATCCCCACCCCTATGCTCCCTGGAGGCCCCAGAGCGCCTCATCCTCCCTCAGTTCAGGCCTGGTCCTGTCACATTGGGCTGATCTTTTCATAAATCGTCCTCCACAAAATAGGGTGCCTACTGCTTAGGTGTCACCCTAATCTGTCTCCGTGACCCCCCCAAATCTCAGCTGGAACCACAGAAAATGTTTATCGAATGGATCTTGAAAGTACCAAAAATATGCAATGAAAAAAACCCTACATATGTAAAATCGCATCCGATCTAACTCGGCATGATATTTGAAAAAAACATATTAAAAAGAAACCTAGTTATTTATCTAGGGGAAATTTACTTTGAAATTTCTTTAGTGAAAATGATTTATAAAATATTCCAAACATTTTATAAAATGTTCCTTGAGTGCGGCTTTTTGACCGAATCCAAACTTTATAAAAAGAAGTTCTGTGAAGTCTGGACTCAGTTGAGGAGCCTCACTTGGGGATTTGGAGGGCCACGTGTGGCCTTGAGGACTCCTGGCTTGGCTAAAGGAAATCTGGCTACTTCATAATCTTGTTTCTTTAAAATTTTAATAATAATAAAAACACACATTTGTTTCCAAAGCTCTTCCACTGACATTAACACATTTGAGTCTAACAGAAACTCCAAAGAAGCAATAGCGTTTCCAGATCCAGCCCTCTTCCTTGGGTGGTTCACATATAGTTAAAAGAGTGGAGGGAACTATCTGTTTTCCTTCCATGCCTGGGGTAAAATTCTACCCTCTTTGAGCTGTCAAATGACTTTCCAAAGCTGTGCTGGGTCTTGAGGAGCCAGGCCAGCCCCTCTGAATTCTGGAGCACTCACATAATTGGCATGCAGCACAGTGAAGAACTCGGGGTTGGTGATGAACTTGACCGCTGGGGACTGCAGCAGCAAGGTGATCTTTTGAGAGTTCACCGGAGAAAGTGACCCTTCTCTCCTCAGATCTGGAAAAAGTGAAGCAAAGCAACAGAACACACTAGGACAAAGTCGTTTCAAACTCAGTACTTCTCTCTCTCCATGGCATTGGCACACAAGCCTTCACCCACACAGCCGGCTGTCGTTCTTAATAGTGACATAACCGGGTGTCATACTGCTTTATGTATGTTGGTTAAGAATCATTATTTTCTAGTAGTGCTCGTGCAAACTTCACTTAGGCTCAAGTCCTCTAACATCACCTCCCTTTTATCCCAATGACTTTTTTTCTTATTTTTTTTACAAGTTGCTAACCACAACTATGGTAGGTTGTTTGCAGAAAGGGCTACAAGTCTTCCCCTCTTCATAGCCACACCCAGTTGCAATGGGACTTTGCAGCCTTGGTGAATTGCAGCTGGCCTTGTGCCTGGTTTCAGTCAATAGAAATGGCAATGGGTCAGTTCTGAGTCAAGGTTTCAAGAGATCTGTGCGTTGATTTAGGCAGAGCAAGATGGCCAAACAGAAACCTCCAGCAATTGTCCCTCCACATGAATGCCTAATTCAACAACTATCCATGCAAGCAAGCACCTTCAGAAGAACCAAAAGTTGATCATACTACCTGGTTTTAACATTATATCAAGGAAAGAGGCACTGAAGAGGGCAGAAAACACTCTCTGGCATTGCCTATGTCACTCCTTTCCTACCCCACCTGCAGGTAGTACTGTACCAGTGCATAGAGTGGAGAGAGAATCTGAATGCTAAGCGAAGGAAAGTGGGGCTTCGAATCGAAACTCAGGGCTGCCTTGGCACAGGGGAACACAGCACAGGGCAGAATTCTGTCAGCGCCCATGGGGAGAGCATTTTGACCAGCCGGGCCAGAGAGAAACCTTCTGCCCCAAAGTCCAAGTTCCAGCTAGCCCCACCACTGGCAGAAGAGCAGCCTGGGGCCCGGACTAAGTTCCTAAGGCAGTCAGGCCACAAGGGCTGCAGTCCTTGGGCAATTCCTGTGGCTGTGCTGGCTCAGAGCCAGTGGACTTGGGGTGCACATGACCCAGTGAGACACCAGCAGCTGTGGCCAACCCAATGCGTATGTCACCAACTATAGGAAGTGTGGCTTACATAGGAAGAGTCTTCTTCCACTTGAGGAAAGGAAAGGGAAGAGCTCAGGGGACTTTGTTTTGCAACTTGTGTACAAGCTCAGCCACAGTAAAATAAAATTCCAAGCAGACTCCTGAGGCCTCAGTTCCTAGATGACATTTCTGGACCCACCCTGGGTCAGAAGGAAACATGCTGCCCTGAGGGGAAGGACCCAGTTCTGGCAGGATTCACCACCTGCTGACTAAAGAGCCTTTGGGCTTTGAATAAACATCAGAGGTAGCCAGGCAACAGTCACCACTTGCTTTGGGTAAGACTGGCCTGGCTTTGGGTGTGACCAGGCGCTGGTGGCCACAAGGGAGTGCCCACATCAGTTCTCCCCCAACTCCAGTAGCCCAGCACAGAGAGTGAGGGAAGAGTGTGGGAGACTCTCCCTGGTAATCCAGGGAATTCTCTTGTATCTCGCCCAAGCTCACCAAGTTGGTACCACCAGGAGTCTGCAAGAGTCACAGCATTACTAGGCTTGGGACACCCCCAGTGCTGATATGGCTGCAGTGACCAGAGACTTAGATTACAACATTCAATTCCATTTGAGTATCTGGAAAGTCTTCACAAGAAGGACAGGTTCAAATAAGCCCAGACTGTGAAGGTTAAAATAAATACCTGATTCTTCAGTGCCCAGACATCAATGAACATCTACAAGTATCAAGAACATCCAGGAAGACATCACCTCACCAAATGAACTAAATAAGGTACTAGTGAGCAATCCTGGAGCAATGGAGAGAGGTGACCTTACTGGCAAAGAATTCAAAATAGCTGTCCTGAAGAAGCTCTATGAACTTCAAGACAACACAGAGAAGGAATTCAGAAACCTATCAGAGAAATTTAACAGAGATTGAAATAATAAAAAAGATCAAACAGAAATTCCAGAGCTTAAGAATTTAGTTGACAAAGTGAGAAATGCATGAGAGTCTCTCAACAGCAGAATTGAGCAAGCAGAAGAGAGAATTAGTGACCTTGAAGACTAGCTATTTGAAAATATGCAATCAGGAGGGAGGGAAAGAGAGAGAGAGAAAGGGGGGAGAGCGAGAAAGGATAAATAATAATGATGCACACCTACAAGATCTAGAAAACAGCCTCTAAAGAGTGAATCTAAGGAGTTATTGGCCTTAAGAGGAGGTAGAGAAAGATTGGGGTAGAAAGTTTGTTTAAAGAAATAATAAAGGAGAACTTTCCAAACCTGGAGAAAGGTATCAATATTCAGGTACAAGAAGGTCATAGAACACCAACATATTTAACCCAAACAAGGCTACCTCAAGTCATTTAATAATCAAGCACTTAAAGGTCACATAAAGAAAAGGTCCTAAAAGAAGCAAGGAAAAAGAAAAAAATAACATATAAGGGAGCTCTAATACATCTGACAGCAGACTTCTCAATGGAAACATTATAGGGTAGGAGAGAGTGGCATGACATATTCAAAGTGCTGAAGGAAAAAAAAAACCTTAACCCTTGAATATTATATCCTGAAAAAATACCCTTCAAACATGAAGAAATAAAGACTTTCCCAGACAAACAAAAGATGAGGGATTTCATCAACACCAGACCTGTCCTACAAGAAATGCCAAAAATGAGTTCTTCAACCTGAAAGGAAAGGATGTTAATGAACAATAAGAAATCTTCTGAAGGAGTACTACTCACTGATAACAGTAAATACACAAATACAGAATACCCTATTGCTTTGATTGCAGTGTATAAACCATTTATATCTTGAATAGGAAGACTAAAGACAAACCTATTGAAAATAACTGTTTGAGGGATACATAGTATAAGAAGATATGAATGCAAACAACAAAAAGTTAAAAATCGGGAAGGGATGAAAGGGCAGGATTTCTGTCAGATTTCTCTTTGCTTGTTTATTTGTTTGTAAGCAGAATTGACATATGTTTAAAATAATTGGTTATAAAATGTTTCTTGGAAGCCTTGTGGTAACCTCAAATCACAAAATCAATAGATACACACACACACACACACACACACACAAATAGAAAAACAAGACATTTAAACATACTACCAGAGAAAATCACTTTTAACAAAGGAAGATGGGAAGGCAGTAAGAAAAAGAGAGGACCATAAACAAACCAGAAATCAAATACAAAATGGCAGTAGTAAGTCCTCACCTATCGATAATAACATTGAATGTTAATGGACTAAACTCTCCAATCAAAAGACATAGAGTGGCTACATGAATTAAAAAAACAAGAACCAACTAATTATATTGTCTGCAAAAAATATATTTCATCTATAAAGACACACATAGTCTAAAAATAAAGAGATGGAAAAAGATATTCCATGCAAATGGAAACCAAAAAAGAGCAGGAGTAGCCATCCTTCTATGAGATAAAATAAATTTCAAGACAAAAACTGTAAAAAGAGACAAAGAAATTCATTATATAATGATAAAGGGTCAATTCAGTAAGAGGATATAACAATTCTAAATATATATGCACCCAACACTGGAGCACCAAGATATATGAAGCAAATATTATCAGAGCTAAAGAGAGAGATAGACCCTAACACAATAATAACTGGAGATCTCAACAACCCACTTTCAGCATTGGACAGATCATCCAGACAGAAAATCAGAAACACTGGACTTAATCTTAAGTATCGACCAAATAGATGTTAATATTTACAGAACATTTTATCCAACAGCTGCAGAATTCACATTCTTCTCCTAAGCTCACAGATCATTTTCAAGGATAGACCATATGTTAGGCCACAAAACAAGTATCAAAAATTTTAAAAAATTGAAATCATACCAAGTATTTTCTCTGACAATGATGGAATAAAACTAGAAATCAATAACAAGAAGAACATTGGAAACTATACAAACACATGAAAATTAAACAATATGCTCCTGAATGACCAGTTGGCCAATGAAGAGATTAAGAATAAAATTAAAAAGTTTCTTGAAACAAATGAAAATGAAAACATGACATATCACAACCTATGGGATACAGCAAAAGCAGTCATAAGAGGAAAGTTTATAAGTGCCTGCATGAAAAAAGTAGAAAGGCTTCAAACAAACAACCTAACAATGCATCTCAAAGAAGTACAAAAATAAGAGCAAACCAAACCAAAAATTAGTAGAAAAAAAGAAATAGTAAAGATCTGAGCAGAAATAAATGAAATTGAAACAAAAAATAGAAAAGGTCAATGAAACAAAAAGTTGTTTTTTTAAAAAGATAAACAAAATAGATACACATTTAGCCAGACTAAGAAAAAAAGGAGAAGACCCAAATAAATAAAATCAAAGGTGAAAAATGAGACATTACAGCTGATACTGTAGAAATTCAAAGGATCATTAGAGACCTATATAAGCAACTCTATGCCAATAAATTGGAAAACCCTGGAAGAAATGGATAAATTCCTAGACACTTATAACCTACCAAGATCGAACCATGAAGAAATCCAAAACATGAATAAACCAATAACAAGTAACCAGCCGGACCCACGAACCAAAAGTCTCCCCTCAAAAAAAAAAAAAAAAAAAAAAAAAAAAAAAAAAAAAAGCCTAGGACCTGATGGCTTCACTGCTGAATTCTACCAAGCATTCAAAGAACTAATACCAATTCTACTTAAACTATTCCAGAAAATTGAGGTGGAAGGGATACTCCCAAACTTATTCTATGAGGCCTGTATCACCCAGATACCAAAATTAGACAAAGACGGAACAAAAAAGAAAACTACAGGCCAATATCTCTGATGAACATAAATGCCAAAATCCTCAACAAAATACTGGTAAACCAAATTCAACAATACATTAAAGAGATTATTCACAATGATCAGGTAGGATTCATCTCAGGGATTTAAGGATGGTTTAACATATGCAAATCAATCAATATGATACATTATATTGACAAAAAGAAGGACAAAAATCATAAGATCATTTCAATTGATGTTGAAAAAGCATTGGATAAAATTCAATATCCCTTTGTGGTAAAAGCTCTCAAAAAAAAAACCTGGGTATAGAAGGAACTTACCTCAACACAATAAAAGCTGCATATAATAGACCCACATCTTGTATCATATTGAATGAGGAAAAGTGAAAGCCTTTCCTCTAAGATCTGGAACAACACAAAGACGCACATAGTACTGGAAGTTCTAGCTAGTGCAATCAGATAAGAGAAAGAAATAAAAGGTATCCAAACTGGAATGGAAGAAGTCAAATTATCCCTGTTTGCAGATGATATGATCTTATCTTTAGAGAAACCTAAAGACTCCAGCCAAAAACTATAAGAACTGATTGAACAAATTCAGTAAAGTTTCAAGATACAAAATCAACTTTCAAAAATCAGTAGCATTTCTATTTCTTTTTTGAGACAGAGTTTCACTCTGTTGCTTGGGCGAGAGTGCCATGGCATCAGCCTAACTCACAGCAACCTCAAACTCCTGGGCTCAAGCAATCCTACTGCCTCAGCCTCCTGAGTAACTGGGACTACAGGCATGCGCTACCATGCCAGGCTAATTTTTTCTCTATATATGTTTAGTTGTCTAGCTAATTTCTTTCTATTTTTTTAGTAGATACGGGGTCTCACTCTTGCTCAGGCTGGTCTCGAACTCCTTAGCTCAAATGATCCACCCTCCTCAGCCCCCCAAAGTGCTATGATTACAGGCATGAGCTGCCACCATACCCAGCCCTAAAAATCAGTAGCATTTCTATATGCCAACAGTAAACAATCTGAAAAAGAAACCAAGAATGTAATCCCATTTACAATAGCTACAAATAAAATAAAATACCTGGGAATAAACTTAACCAAAGAAGTGAAAGATCTCTATAATGGAAACTATGAAACATTGATGAAAGAAGTTGAAGAGGATACACAAAAAAATGGAAAGATATTCTATGCTCATGGATTGGAAGAATCAATATTGTTAAAATGCACATACTACCAAAAGCCATCCTCTATTTCTTTCTCTTATCTGATTGCACTAGCTAGAACTTCCAGTACGATGTTGAATAACAGTGACGAAAACGGGCATCCTTGTCTTGTTCCAGATCTTAGAAGAAAGGTTTTCACCTTTTCCCCATTCAGTATGATACCAGCTGTGGGTCTGTTATATGTGGGTTTTATTGTGTTGAGGTAAATTCTTTCTAAACCCATATTTTGAGAGTTTTTACCATGAAGGGATGTTGAATTTTATCAAATGCTTTTTCAATATCAATTGAAATGATCTTATGTTTTTTGTCCTTCATTCTGTCAATTCAATGTAATCCCCATCAAAATATCAATGATATTCTTAACAGAAATAGAAAAAATAATCCTAAAATTTATATGGAACCACAAGATCCAAAATAACCAAAGCTATCCTGACAAAAACCAAAACAAAACAAAACAAAAAACAAAACTGGAGGAATCACATTACTTGACTTCAAATTATACTACAGAGCTGTAGTGACTAAAACAGCATGTTACTGGCATAAAAACAAACACATAGACCAATGGAACAGAACAGAGAACTCAGAAGTAAATCCACACATGTATAGTGAACTTGTCTTTGAAAAAGTCACCAAAAACATACAGCGGGGAAAGGACAGTCTCTGCAGTAAATCATGCTGGGAAAACTGGATATCCATATGCAGAAGAATGAAACTAGATCCTTATCTCTCATCATATACAAAAATCAAACCAAAATGGATTAAAGAGTTAAATCTAAGACCTGAAACTATGAAACTACTAAAAGAAAACATTGGGAAAACACTTCAGGACATTTGTCTGGGCAAGGACTACATGAGTAACACCCTCAAAGCACAGGCAATCAAAGCAAAATTGGACAAATGGGATCACATCAAGCTAAAAAGCTTTTTGTACAACAAAGAAAACAATCAGCAAAATGAAGAGACAACCCACAGAATGGGAGGAAATATTTGCAAACTACTTGTCTGACAAGGGATTATAACTAGAATAAATAAGAAGCTAAAACAATTCACTAGGAAAAAATCAAATAATTCAATTAAAAAGTGGGCAAAGATCTGAAGAGATGTTTCTCAAAAGAAGATGTACAAGTGACCAACAGGTATATGAAAAAATGCTCAACCTCATTAGCTGTCGGAGAAATGCAAACCAAACTATTATAAGATATCATCTCACCCCAGTTGAAATGGCTTTTATGAAAAAGACAGGCAAAAATTAAAGATGGTGAGGATGTGGAGAAAGGGGAAACCTTGTACACTGTTGCTGGGAATGTAAGTTAGTGCAACCACTATGGAAAAGAGTATAGAGGTTCCTCAAAAAACTAAAAATAGAACAATCATAAGACCCAGCAATCCCACTGCTAGGTATATATCCAAAGAATGGGAATTCAGTATATCAAAAAGATACCTGCACTCCCACGTTTATTTCAGCACCATTCACAATAGCCAAATATGAAATCAACCTTAGTGTCCATTAGTAAAAAAATGGATAAAGAAATTGTAGTAAATACATACAATGGAATACTTTATAGCCACAAAAAGAATAAAATCCTGCTATTTGAAACAACATGAATGGAACTGGAATACATTATGTTAAGTGAAATAAACCACGCACAGAAAGACACATCCCACATGTTCTGACTCATATGTGGGAGCTAAATATTAAAAACAATTGATCCTGTGGAGACAGAGAGTAGAATGACAGTTACCAGAGTCTGGGAAGGGAAGCAGGGAGGGGGATAAAGTGAGGATGGTTAGTGGGTGCAAAATTATAGATAGAATGAACAATATATGATAGCACAACAAAGTAACTGTAATCAACAACAAGGTAGTGTATACTTTAAAATAACCAAAAGAATAAAATTGGAATGTTCCTAATACAAATAAATATTAAATGTCTTAGGTGATGGATATCCCAATTACACTGATTTGATTAATTCACATTGTATGCCTGTATCAAAACATCACACATACCCAATAAAATATACAACTGTTACATAACCATAATAATTAAAAATAAAGAATTTTAAAAAATAATAAAAAAGAGATCTGTGTGCCTCCATTTTTGCTCTTGTATCCCTGCCACTACTGTGAGGATGAACTTGGGCTAGCCCGCTGCAAGATGAGAAAAGGCCGGGGAGCAGGGACAAGCCACCCTAGCAGAGGCCACCTCAGACAAGCCAGCCCACAGCTGATGCGACAGGTGACAAAGACTGACGCATGAGCCCAGCAGCGCCCCGAGGAACCACACAGCTGAGCTCAGGTCAAATTGCCAACCTGTAGAACTGTGGGGGAAAGGAATGGTTGTGAGTTTCGGGCACTAAGTTTTGGGATGGGTTGTTACTTGGTAAATGACAACTGATCCAATACAAATAAATTTTCTGTTTCTTTTTCCTCATGTTTCTAATGACTTGATCATTGGACCACATCTCTCTCAGAAGCTTGAACAAAGAAATTATTTATGGAAAAACCTAAACTAGTGAGTTTAGTTAGTATACCTAGTAAAATAAACAGAATGGAGACAATCAAAATTGTCGGTGGAATTGTGCACGTGCGTTCATAAAATCCCACGAAAATGTCCAATAGTCGGCACTGCCATAGACAGCCTGGCAGGAGTGGAATCCCAGGGCTGCTTGCCCAGACTGTTCTCTAAGCCTCCTTTTGGCAAATAAATCTGCCATAATTTACTGAATTTAAAAAGAAAGTGGATTATTAGGATGTCACCGTGACAATCTTATGTCATTACGGGTACAGAAAGTGACAGCCCATCTCATGCCTTTTGAATATGTCTGAGTTCCACTTGGGCTGATTCAAAGCAACGAAAACTAGGAAGAGCAGGCCTGGGGTGGATGCCTATTGTGCACCCTCAGATGTGTGCACAGCCAAAACCTTTTCGCTTTCAGGTTCCTCCCTCAGGAGAATTGGATTTTATTCTAAATGCAAACAAGTAATTATTCCTAGTGTTGTCACATGGCTCCTTGTAAGAGACTGAACTCTTATTGCATGTTTTATTTATAAGTGGAAAATCCTTAGGACACCAACAAATATATTTACTTAGCAACAATTGATTAAGCCACTGATGAAGTTGTCTTGCTGCACAATTATCATAGCAAACTCAGCCTCGTCCCAGATCCAAGTGCCTTCCTGCTTCCAGATCACCGTGCCAGGGTGGTGGTGCTCCCTTCCTGGTTAACCCCCTTCCGAGTTCCCTGGTGGGAAGCTCTGTCCTGTGGGCTTTACCCTGTGGGTACCAAGATGCCTTTTTCTCCTGCACCCTGATCCTCTGCATCGCCACCAGGAGGCAGGGCAGGGACTTGCACACCTTTGTCACACAGCCACTGGATGCCACCCCAGGTGTCTGGGGACCCCTCCTCCAATACCTAAGGTCGACTGGGAAGATTCAGCCTCTGAGTCACTCCCTCCACCTCCACCTCCTCCTGCCGGGACTTGCTCACAGCTTTGGCTGCCAGAATCTTCCTCAGGCCTCTCTGTTGCGATGGTTCGCTGGATGTTTTGATACCTTTCGTTAGAAAACAGAGAGACAGGAGTTAACTTTCGTTTGTTTGCTTGTTGGGGGCCGATGCTCTGAATCAGAAAATTGGAGAAATCTGTAACGAACTGTCTTGAATGTCAGGAAAGAAGTGCTTAAAATTCCCACTAGATAGCGACAACAATTAGCAAGACAAGTATCTCTGGATGATTTGACTTCTTTTTTGTTTTGTAAGCTACGATGAGTTTCAAGCATGGTGACTTTTGAAAAATCAACACAAATAATAGCTAATCATGCAAAACAGCTTGTGCCCCGTATTAAACAAAATCGGGCTAAGTCTAAAATAAAGTTGCGGGAAGTAAATTAAAATGTTACAACTAAGTTATCAAATTACCTCTACATTATTGTAATAAGTCTACAAACTGGAATAGTAGTGCTGTCACTTATTTTTATTTGACAGGTATTTGATACGGTTGGGCAGAGGGTGTGGAAATATTATGCCTAAAAGCATGCTGGCAAAGAAATAAATGTTTTCTGCTTTATCTGAAGGCTCATTTTATTTTTCTTCTGAAGCTGGAGATGTAGTCAGTGGGCCGGCCAGCTAGCCGCCTTGCCAAGTACTGAGTTCTCATCCACCCTTGCCGTGTGAGCAGCCTCTGTGTGTAGGGGCTTTCAGAGCAGAGAGGGGATTTGAACACACGGCCGAGATGCAGCCAAGGGGGACTGGTGCAGAAACCAGAACTCTCGCAACTGGAAAGGCTGCCGTGGACAAGGCAGAGATGTAGGGGGACACAGACAAGGAGATTCCAAAGATTTATAAACGTTGAAGCTGGAGTACGACCTTGTCAGGGAGCTCGCTGGGAAAGAACCTTTCAGAAGAGAAACAACTTGTGCACAAGCAGAGCGCCAGGGGAGAGCCCCAAGAGGCTTGGTGGTGGCATCAGGACCTGTGGGTGCTGCACAGAGACCAGCGGACAGGGAGACAGGGAGTCCCTACAGCGCACCCAGCAGCAGTCTGGATGTTATTCTCTGAGGCCACAGGTCCCCTAAGCCGAGCCTCGGGAGCCTGCAGGACTTGTTAAAACACACACTAATTTGGTCTCTGATTCAGTAGGTCTGGGGTAGGGCCAAAGAATCTGCATTTTGACAAGGTCACAGGTGATCCTGATGCCGCTGGCCCAGGGACCAACTTTGAGAACCACTGCTCTCTGCGACACGTAGCTGCTAAAACGGAGACGCAGGGCCAGATATACTCTGAGAATGATCACCCGGAGTCGCAGAGAGCAGCTGGGGGCTCCCACGACAGCCCAGGCCAGAGACGCTACTGGCCTGGACCTGGCAGGCACGGCAGGCCAGGCTGCCTTTCCAAGTATCTGCTACAGGAGGTAGCCACAGACTGCAGGGAAGGAGGTCAGTCTACCTGCTGGCAGAATGCTCACAGACATTTCCTCACCCTGCCTGCCCTTGGCAGCCTGCTCTAACTCCCTCTGTTGGTGGGCAGACATCAGCTCCCTAGCTCCCCTCTGCTCCTGCACTCTCTCCCTCCCCAGTGACCTCCGTTTGCCCATGTCTCTCAGCCTACCTGATGACTAGGTGACCGGGGGCCAGCTTCCCTCTTCCTCAGGGCATACAGCCTGGAAGGAAGAAGGGGCCGAATCCAGGAGCTATTTAGCGGCAGAGTTTGTGATAACTTTACAAGTAGACTCGTGGGGACTTGGGGCCTGACTGGATAGGGAGGGTAATGAAGAGGGAGGAGACCATGATGAAGTTCAAGGTTTCTGGTGAGACCAGGTAGGCAGAGCTGCCGACCCTGCAGAAGAGCAGGTAGAAGGCGGGCAGGTGGGTAGGGCGGGTGCTGGCATGGGTTTGGACGTGCTGACCTGCAGGTTCTGAAAGTCATGTGAACCCCACAGTCCAGGGAATTATATGGGTCTGGTGCCCAGGAGAGCAAGGGCGGGGCAGGCGGGGCGAGGGGGAGGGGAGGAAGAGGTGGGCAAGAGTCCAAGCAGCAGGGAATAGCCATGTCTCCAAGTGCAACCCAAGAGGGGATGAGGGGACGCAGTGTGGCACAGGGGAGGTTCCCCTGCGGCTGGGCTTCCGCAGACCAGCGCCCCATTCTTTCCTTGACCTAACAGAAGAAGGTTTTCTCAGCGAGGTCTCCAGACTGCTCACAAGAGAATCATCAGAATGATTGTTAAAATTATAGAAATCGAAGCAACACTGAAAGGTGCATGTCTGACGAGTCCTTTATGTCGCACTGCATACAACTAGGCTTGAGACACTAAGGGCTTCCTGTGAGTGTGACTTTATCTGGACACCTGTCAGAGCAGTTACTGTGAGGCATTTCCTGAGGGGGCCTCTTACCACGCAATGTGGAAGGGGCGGGATGAGTGCAGTGAGGATGGAATCGCAGAGGGAAATATTTGTGTTAATCTGCCACCTTGACAAGTCTGTGGTGAGGAGGTTGTGGAGGAGGTGGAGGTGGCCCTCTGCCATGGTCCTCCCTGCTGGAACGTGGGTAACGGCTATGTCAGGAGGGCAGGGGGCGCCAGTGAGAAGCTGCCTGGCATGTAACCTTGGGGAGCAACTGGGCCTGCCAAAGACCAAGGAAGCTGCCACTGGGAGGATTCCTTAAAGGACATACGGCAGATTGCATTTTCCCTAAATGCCTTGACTACCTTTCTAGATCTACATGCTCTTCCCAAAGCTTATCACTCTCTTTTTAAGAGGTAGAATTCATGTTCTTGCCCCTTGGGCCTGGGAAGGTCTGAGATACCTGAGAGATAGCTGCCTAGCTGGGCCCAGCCAAACCAGACCCGTGAGAAATAGTAATAATTATAAAAATAAATGATTGTTGTTTTATGCCATTAGGTTTGGGGTAGTTTGTTCCTCAGCAATGGATACCAGGGACAGGACTTAGATAAATATCAAAATGTCAAGTTGTAGCCTTTCTTTTCCTTCCAAAGTGCAGTGACCATGACAGAGAATTTTTATCTTTATTGATGATGAAAATGTCAGCAATGTCCCAAGATAATTCACATTCCTCAGGTGGACCTTGATTATCTCATGCCTTACTGGGTCAGCAGCCTGCAATCCCAGGTGTCCCTCACCCTGGATCTCTGCTAAAGGGCGGGGGCTGTCTGGGGAAGCAGGACACACCGCGCCTGGAGGAGGGAGCTCTCAGTGAGGGCAGGACTGCGGTCTCAGAGCCTCACCCTGCTGGAAAGAGGAGAGAGAAGCTCAGAAAGCCGGCTCTCTTCTATTCCATCAAGAATTATCCATCAGTGTCTGCCTGTACTTTTTTTTTTTAACCAAGAAAAAGGGAAAAAATTAAAACAAAAAAAACAATCAACGAAAATAAGTTAAAAAAATCAGCTAGAACACCTAATTTGTAAATGGACACACACATACACACACACAGTCACAAAACCAAACAAGGAAGATAAAAACCTTCCTAAACCAAGTCAAACCATCCAACCAACCAAACAAACAGAAAAACAGGAAAAAAAAGCCCAAGAACAGACAATTTACATGAGAGAAACTACAATTACTAAAGAAAAGCTTATGGAAAAAGAGTTGATCCACAGTATTATAAAATGTAAGTGGCACCAAAGTACTTGGAGCACCTCTTAAATTGCAAAAATAAATCAAAAGATGAGATGGAGGTGAAGGTGGTGGTGTTGGTAAACCCAGAGGACCACAATGCCTAACATAGAAAACAGTTAGGCATTAATATCAAACACCCAAACCACATTTATCTCCCTTGCTCTGCTCTTTTGGGAACAGAACCCTAAGAAAATACAAGACAAGGTGATACAGATCCTTGGTGGCTGTATCGAAAATAGTGATAAAAGCTATAAGCAAATCATTCAACAGCATGAGAAATTAAATTAACCAAAATACAGCTATTCAATGGCACACCATACATGCATTTAAATATTAGCGTGAAGACTATGCAGCAATATGAAAATGCTTACAGTGTAGCAAGTAAAAAAATGAATGTGAAACAATATATTACCCTTATAACTACGTACGAATTATGCATGCATATGGAAATTGAAGAGAGGTACATTATTTTAAAAAGCTAAATCCTTGAGGTAGTAAGACTGCATGTAGATCACTTTTTTTCCTATTTAAAACTTTCATTTCCCTTAATATTATAATAATTTTATACAAATAACTAAAAAAACCAAATTTTAGTTGATTATTTAAAATAAGAATACATATGTATATTTTTTTGCTTGGTCAATCAATATTTGCGAAAGTAGAATTAGTTGCTTCTGGACATCCTGAAAGTATAGACGTTAACTCTGGGAACAATCTTAAACTGAGCCCTGTTAAATGTCTAGCATCACGCCAGGTGCTGGCAGGGAGAGGAGTGCCAAGAAGAAGTTAAGGACTGTAACGGAGGCACATTCATGAGGTTTGGGGCAGGAGGCTCTGGGTGGAGGATCGTGGGAAGGCATCATGGGTACGTGATGTTCGAGCTAGGCCTACAGGGTGAGGAGGCGTGTTCCAGGTGGGAGCAGGCAGCGAGGGACTGCCCTGCACTGGGAGCACGTGGCCAGGCCACAAAGGCCTGGCAGAGTGTGCAGCGTCTGGGGAGTGGCCGAGTTTGAACACGGTCCCTCCAGCCTAGCACAACAGCTCACACGTTGCCATTGTGCACTCCGCATAGGTCTCCTTACACACATACATTTGATTTTTTTTTCCAAGCCAGTCAAATTTAGCAGTGGCCAGAGTCAAGGAAAACTCCTTGCAACACTGAGATATATTTATTTCCCTCTTTCTGTGAGCCAGTGATCATTGTACCTTTCTCCTGATGACTGCAGGCTATCAAAAAGTGACCCGTGCTGGTGGTGCCACAGGAGACAGATAAAAGGCTGGTAGTCTACTTTCTGTGGCTGCTGTTACCACGTCAAATCACAGAGAACTTTAAATGCTTGAAAGTATTTAAATACTTGAAAGGTAAGGTAAGTACTGAAAAGCCTAGATACTTATCTGAACGTTCCCTGATCTTCCCTAAGTAGGCTTTTTCACAAGAAATAAGCACTTTCCAAAATCGCTAAATTCCTTTTTTTTTTTTATCTGTCCAGATGGATGCGGCAAAAGCCACTTCCTACTCGGCAAAGTCCAGCTGCCTCTCCCAGCATGTTCAGCTCCACTGGAGGGCACAGGAATTTACACATCAAAGGCCTGGCTCCAGGTGGATGTGGCATAATTGTTATATTACACAAGCTGACCACCACCATGAACGCTCATGGATATTTAGGCCATAGGTCAAGGTCCTTCTGCTTCAGGTTTATTGCTGATTTTGTTTAGTGCTCCAACAGCACGTCTCGTAGAGACAGCCTGATGATCCTCCCTCCTATTCTCATTCTGCTAAACAGGTTCAGCGCATCTGTTCTGGCAGGACAGACCTAGAAGCTAATTTGCGCCTATGGAGTGGCAACAGCATGCCTGTGACAGGAGCAGCTGTGGCCTTTACATTTTCAGTTATTGGAGTTTTGTTGCAATCACCATGAAAGGTCTTTCCCGTGGAATTTTGGTGCGTTCATGTCTAAAAAAACCGGATTATCAAAAGTTCTTCCTTGTAATATGCTCGTTTTGGTGGCAATACTTGTAGAGAACTATGTTATCGATGAAAGTCCTTTATGGTTCTCGTTAATGACTTAAACACAGCTGCTGATGGGGGGGAAATGGAGAGCAAATGCCTTCCAAATGTTCAAGTAATAAAAGCATGTTCTGATGATTTTCACCTAAAGCATGCTTCTCTGTGTACAACAGTACCCAGAAGTTCAATTTTTTTGTTTTCATATGTTTTTAATAGGACTAAATTGTCCATTTTTTTTTTTTCCTGGCTAGTACAGTTAAAGTTTCAAAGGTGTTTGCTATCAATAGGTGTGTTCCTCAAAGCCAGTTCTTTCCTCATTTTAATCCCTCTCAACCTTTCCTTCACCTTCATACGAACACAGAAACAAGATGGCATGTGCAGGCAGTTACAACTGAAGTAAGTCTCAGTCTGCATTCCTGGCAACTGAAAGTATCCTGAAGGCACTGCCCTGGTCTTAAAGAACAATATGTCAGACGCGATGCTTTATACTAGCTTAAAGCATGGGCTGTTTGGGGCTTCATTTGCAGGTTAAAAAACAAAACGATACCTTTACAAGCTCAACAGTGAGGGTCTAGTTTTTAAACAAAACAAAACATTTTCTCAGAAAAATGTTTTTAAGCATTTCTTTTTCTAAGATGAAGGCTTTTTAAGAATTATTATTTATGAGCATATAGCAATTATGAGACCAAGGTAGAAATGCACATGGTGATTTATGGGACAGTTTTTTTCCCGAGGCAGCATTTAGTATTCTTTTGGAACCTAGCCTTGCAATGTTCTTAACTGTTTGCGTTCTGTACTCCTTTGAGCATCTTGTGATGGATATGGACCAGTCTGCCAGAAAAATGTGCATGCATGTATAAATTTGCATATAATGTCTGGAAGGTTCATGGAACGCTGACTTCCTTGATGAATATCTTGGGGGGGAGGGCGGTCAATGGGCCCTGGTTCAGAACTCCTGTTTCTGAGCCTGGACCATTAAGAAATTAAGAGGATTTCTCATCTTTAAATGACAATCAAACTTAATTTGTCTCTTGCCACTAAATTCTAGATCTAGCTTTCCAAGTACCTACTATGAATGGGTTTCTTAAGATACTTAATTACTTTCCAGTCTCCTCATACAATCTGAGCAGAAAAATGCAAGAGAAGTTTCTTTAGCTGCTGCTGTCCTTTCACTGTGGCTAGAGGAGCTCATTGCACACTGATCACCAACCGCCTGTTGAGCTGCTCCATCTGCTGGATGGACCCCGATCTCCGCATCCCATCCGGGGTGGCTGCTGCCGTTGGACGCTGCCAGGTGGTTGTGCGGTTCACGTGGTCCACATAAAAGACCCGCCCATGGCTGTCAATTCGAGCTTCCCAGTCTAGTGTTTAATAAAAAGGCAAAAAGAAAAATCAAGGACAAACTACTGACCCATGTGAAACACATAACACTCCCAGGTCTTCTGCAGGTAGAACTCACCGTTGGTTTGTGGCTGAAGGCCAGACACTGTCCACAGCACCTGCCATGGCTTCTAGGGCATTGGCAGGGAATCGGGCACTCCGGAAAAGAGCTTAATGAACTTAGATTCTCTGCTGGGCCATTTTAATTTTTTAAAATTCACTTTTATTGTTACTGCTCTGTTGCCCAGGCTAGGTGCAATAGCACAATCGTAGCTCATTATAACCTTGAGATTCTAGGTGCAAGGGATTCTCCTGCCTCAGCTTCCTGAGCAGCTAGTGCTACAGGTGCATGCCACTGTGTCCAGTTAATTTTTAAATATTTTTTGTAGAGATGAGTGTCTCACTACATTGCCAGGCTGTTCTTGAACTCCTGGCCTCAAGTGATTCTCCTAACTCGGCCTCCCAACGTATTGGGATTACAGGCGTGACCTGCCATGCCGGATCCTTTAGGTCATTTTAATCAGTAAATGTGGTTCCCTGACCATGATATAAGTTAAAATTCTAATAATTTCTAATGCTTAATTAATTTTTCTTAAAAAATTTCCATCCTCTCTGTCAATCTTGTTGGCTACTCCAATGACAGCTGAGAAAGACTGAAAAGATCCTCCAGTGGGGGCTGACACGGTGATGCTGGAGAATCTTTTCTTTGCCCAATCTAAGAGGGTGACTGGGTTCAGTCGAGGAATAACGGCCTTTGTATTAAAACCAGTCTTACCTACAGTCCTAAAATACTGTACCTGCTACTTTAGATATCTCTATGTGACACTCAGCAAGCTTAATCAAGTGCCATTCCTCTTAAGGGGGCGAGTAGAAAGATTTGACATCTAGAGTTTCACAACATCCTTTTACTAGGTGGGGAATTAACAGTGCATAGTCAACCTACCTGCGGCTGCCAAGTGTCTCTGACCAAAAACAAACCAAGCCAGTAACAACTACGAAATACCCCTTTGTTGACAAACCACCATCCCAACAGTAGAGGGAGCCCAAGATAAAGAAGAGCTCAGTTCCTTTGCTTCCCAAATTAGAAACAAAACAAAACCAAAAGCTAAAAGGTGGAAGCATAGACGACACACTACATTGTGCATGTAGAGGCTGAGGTGGGCTCAGGCGGATGGAAAAGCCCTCAAAACCGAAAGAGCTGGAAGTGATGTGCTGCTCACGTCTGAGCTGCACGTAGAAGAGCAATGGCTGCTGAGCAGAAACGGGCAAAGCTCTCAGAGTCCACACATCAAATTGTGATGGAAATAGCAGCAGCGTGATTAAAATTATGCTGAGGATGCATTAGCCTAAAGAAGAAAAAGCAGGAATGACTGCGGAGGGAGGGAAACTATCCAGCCTTTTTTAGAGAGAAAAGCCATAGCTTTTGGGAGTAGGTCAGATATTAATGATTCTGTTGAAAACTTATCATTCAGGTAATGACATAGCAACTCTAAATTTGTTTCAATGAAAAAATATATTTGGCGTATTTGTGGTTTTATATGTACGTGGTATATCTGTTTCTGAACATTACGTTGACCTCAGGGATTGCTGACTATTGCCCGATGAAAACCAAAATACCAGGAAACACCAAATTTAGCTTAAAAGACAAATTGAAGGAAAAATGTAGGCAGTTTGTATTAATAAGTTCTAAGAGATTTTGAATAAAATTAACTATTAGATAATGCAACTGTCAAATATTAGTTGTAAATGGCAATTGGCGCATTGATAGAATTGTGTGTACATGTGATTACTAGGTAATTAATCTTTGATCCAAATTTTTAAAATTTTAATGGGTCACAAACTAATATTAGTAAAAGCAATTGGACAAGTCTTTATTTTGAATCCAACATGACTGTCATTCAATGGAGAATGAGCATTTAATCTTCGAAGAGCATCGAGCTATTTAAGTCAATTGAACAAACTCTGTTTAGCACTCACCATGAACTAGAAACTATGCTAGGTCCTGAGGACCCAGAGCTGAGTGACACACGTCCTTGTCCTTCAGGCACCCACAGTAAAGGAAAGATTCCTTCACAGACAAAGCGTGGGTCTCATAGTAAGGAAAAAAACTAGAAAATGAAGTAGCAATAATGATAATTTATCACCACAAATTTCAAGATTTCCAAATCGGTCATGGAAAATGGTGAAAAGCTAGACAGATGATTTTTTAATCAATATATTAAATATCTGGAATGCGTAGTGCTAATGGCATACTCATAAATAATGAGAAAATAATAGCTAAGTGTAGTTATAAATTATGAGTATGTTTTCTGGGTTATTTTGTAAAGAATTTACTTTCACATATTTTATAACCAAGGAAAAAAATTCCAAATGAAACTGCAGGCCTCAGGAAGACATGGAGGGCTTAGCACTGTGATGCCGTGAGTTTGACTAAAGGGACACCTGAAAACATACCTTGATGGTGCCGGGGCAGGTTATAGTAGTACAGCTAGGGTCAATTCATTTGTGACTGAAGGATCTATTGTATACTAAATTACATGTTTTCCACAAAGCCTAAGAACAATGTAGGGCCTAATAATGTGTCATCTTTAGTTATTATATTAACAAAAACCTGCCAAATTGTACATTTAAAAAAAATTAAAAAAAGCAAAAACAAAATTAAGGGCCAAAACCTTTTTTTAAACTTTAGAGCCACACATCCAATTGCCTCATTGATATCACTCTCTATATGACATTGTAGGCATAACATGGTCCAAACTAAGCTTCAGACCTTTCCTACCAAAACTGCTCTAGCTGCAGCCTTCCCTTCCCATCTCAGTTGAAGACAACTCTGTCCTTCTAGGTTAAAACTCTTAGGCCATTCTTGACTCCTGTCTTTCTCTCACATCCATACTAAATCTGCCACCAAATCAGGGACTCAGACCACTCCTCCCCAGGAAGAAAGCCTCCTTCCTTTCTCACCCGGTCGCTGCCACCTTATGGACTCAATCTTGTGTTGGATTTCATGCTTCCATTCTTCCTACTCACAATTTACTCCATACATAACAGCCAGGGAAAACTTTTCAAAACCTAAGTCAGAACATAGCTCTGTTCACAACCCTACAATGTTCCCCTTTCGTCCAGAGTAATAGCCAAAAGCCCTCAGTGGTCTCCGAGGCCCTTTGTCATCTGGGCTCCCCTAGCTCCCTGCTGCTTTCTCCCTCCCTTGGTCTGCTCCAGACGCACTGGTCTCTTGTTCCTTAACCCCACCAGGGTGTTTCCCCCTGGGGACTGGCAGTGGCCATTCCCTTTGCCTGCAAAGCTCTTCCTCCCCCACACTTGCAGGGATAACTCCCTCATCTCCTCGGTGCTGTCTTCTCCATGAAGCCCACCACAAGGCTTAAAACCACTCGGTTTAAATTGCAAACCAGTCACCACCACAAATTCAGAGACCCCTCAGCCTGGTCTACTCTTGCTTTTCCATAGCACGTATCACCATCTAATATGCTACGCTAGCACCATTTCATCATTTTATTATTTGTTATCTGTCTGCCAGACTAGACTGTAAGCTCCATGAGGATGGGGATCTTTGTCTGTTTTCCTTACCAACAACAGTACCTAGCACAAAGTACGCATTCAATAAACATTTGTTGAACAAATGACTACCTGCAATGAAGTCATTCAGGTACTGTTTGAGATTATCTAAGAAAATTCAGTTGGTAGAATTCTCTAACAACTTTTCTAATATTTTTCAATGTTTCATGGATAGAAGATTGAAACCTATCTGGAGAAAGTTGTTTTCATTAATGAAAGAAGCTTATATAAGGTATTTCTTTTAAAATGGATTTATATTCAATTATTTATAACATCTGCATATAAAACTAGTTATTACTACTGCGTGGGTTCTAAGTCAATGCATGCATATATGCATTTAAAGGTTTTGTTGTGGAGAGAGTATCTTTTTTCTAGAGAGAATATTTTATAGATATTTTTCAGATAAGTGCCAAGTAGGAGGTATTTATAGTGACACTGAAATTTTACTATTCATTTATGGAATGTCCATAAATTAGTGTATAAAGAAAGAAAGAAATCAGACATCAAAAGTTAAAGGACATAATGTTTGGCATGGCCCCCGAAAAACAAATATCATGTTCCTTTAAGTTAGTCCACATATTAAAGATGTTTCTTGTTCTCTCACTGATAAATTATAATTGAATAGGGAGAAGAGTGGTGTTTGTGCAAAATACATCATAATACTAAGAAAAGATGAATTAAGAAGTATGCACTTCTCCTTTTGAAAACTGTAACTGCTTAATGGAAGCACAGGCAAAAGAATATAAAGAAACTCTGGGTCCTGCATTCTGAAAGATTTTGCAATTGTAAAATCTATCAAATATTAAAGATTATCTTTGCTTGAAAAATAAGCCTAAGTCAAAACAGAGATATTTTAGAATTCATGAATATTTGTGATGCTAAATGAATATATAGTGTCTGGGGTGTTAGTTCCTTCTTATAAATTTATTAAATAGAGTATTATAAGCTTAGAGTTCAAATGATATGTAGAGACTACCTAGTTCAAACTTTGCATGTAGCAGATGAAGACATTCAAACTTTATTTTACAAATGAGAAAACTAAGTCTCTGAGAGATTAAATGAATTTGCAAGTTCAGATGACTAGGTAGATAATTATTAATTACATACTACAGTTACCAGGAGAAAATGATATTGAATTCTAACCTGAAGAGGATATTTTCCCTGGCAACCTTTAAGAACTGCAGAAGAAATCTGGAGATGTTATCTATGAGTGCAAGTTATAGTAGGGAAAGTGCAAGTTCATGTACCCTGAGGAGCTGAAGTTGTTTTATTATAGGGAGATGCTTGTGACATAACAAAGCCAATGGAAACAACAGGATTATTCTATTTGAACTGCAAGTTTTAAATATAAAATAATAAAATTTGGGACTTAAAAGTCATGACCCATTTGCAAAGACTAGTCAAGTCTTGTAAAAACACATTCTTTGTCTCAGAAGTCAAGGGACACTGAAAACCCTGGGTCATCTTTTCCAGATCACATGCTGAAACAACTAGTCAAAGAAAACAAAAACAGAAACAAAAACAAAGCAACACCAGTTTTTACAGGAGGTGCCATATTGGTTTTGATAACAGCATAAGGTGTGGAGTTGGGGAAGAGTTTAGATGTTTAGGTACAAATTCATACTGACCTGTTTAGACTTGATAGGAAGAGGTAAGACATAGGTTTTAAAAACTAAAGCTTACTTGGTGGAAGAGGCTCATCGATTGTTGGGTAGTGATGATGTTCAGGCCTCAAGGAAGGAAGCTGGCTTACTGGCTGGGAATTATGGAGTATAGGACATTCACCTACGGACAAGATAGTCAAGACATTCAGATTCATTCATTGTTGTGGCAACGTCATCAAAAAAGCATGATTGTAAGGCTAACTACTACAAGAAATTACCCCTAAAGAATGGGCAATCTATTTTTTTGTGTCCGTTTGCTACATTTCACAGTCACTCTTAAGAGAGGGAATTATTGGAAACAAAAAAAAGAGAGAAAAATCCAAATACTTCATGACTAATGATCTGTGCCACGCGGTCCAATAGGCAGGATCCAAGTCTGATTCTGTCATGACTTGAATTTTCTTGATCTGAAGGTGGCATCACAAGGGAACACAAGAGAAAATTAGCAGAGCCTGATTTTAGCCCAGCCAAGGAAATAGGTCTGCTTGAAGGAACCGGAGCATTTATAAGGTCCCATAAAACCTTGGTGGGCTTGTGCGAAACTACGTCTCTTTAGCTGGTCAAGTTTCATCAGAGGGCTGCCTGCCTAGAGGCTGTTTCTCAGATCTTACGTGGAATGAAATTCTCAGACGGTGCCTTTCCAAGACGGGTCAAGGAGCTGGTGGACTGAGAGGGCAAATTTCTGTAGTAGGGCAGCTAGGGACTAGTGGCTGGAGGGAGCCAGGGTGCTGTGGGGTCTTGGGACTGTTCCAGATTATTTTGGGGAGGAATCAGACAAGCCAGGGTGCTCTGGAAAGAGGAAAGGACAAGAGACAAAGGAAGTAGATAAAAAGCAGGAAGACTGAGACAGGAAAGCTCAAAACACAGAAGTGGGATAGAAGGAGAAAGAAAGACAAACATGAAGAAATTTTAGAAATAAACATTATATCCACAGAATGCATGTCTCAGATTATTATAGACATAGCTTAGATTGTGTCAATTCAGACATACTGAGCTGAACAGTGTTCGAAAATGGTGTTCCTATTTCATGACGTCCTCAGGCATGTGGATAGGAGGCCTGTAGTGCCAGCTGTTTGGGTCACATAATCAGAGGCCATTGCTCTTGTTCTTTGGAGAGCTAGAAGGGCCCACGACGTAGGACAGCCTCCACTCAGACTGGTTCCTCCTGCCTCACACCAACTTGGTTTTCTCCCAATAGCCCCTACTGGCCAGAGAACAAAGGTCAGGCCTTTTCCTTCCTCCACCCTCCATGGCTAATGCAAATAGCAAGTGTTCCATTATCCCTTGGTTCAAAAAGAAGACAGATTTTGAAAAATGGTGGTCAAGATCTTTGCAGGATCTCAAATGCTGAATATTTCCCAGAATTTCCATACATGGAAGGGATGATTATTGTTTTTCATTCTAGCTCCACAGAGCCAACTGAAAATAAAAATAAATTAATCAGGAGGAAAGTTAAGTGGGTTTAATTTAGTGGTTTAATCTCTAGAGCTAAATGGCAAAAGAAAATACAGATATGTTCAGAAATAAAGGATCTTTTTAAATGTCAAATACATAATGGTATTTCTTGTGCAAGTTCTGGTCTGTTACTCTAATCCTCTGGGTCCTCAGAGACTGTAACGGAAATCGAGGAAGGTCCCCTCGAGCCAGCACCCAGTTCAGTGTGGACGGACTGCTGTTTCAAAGATGGGATCTGTGTTTAAGTGGATACCACACTCATGTTTGTTTTTATATGTGTTTCGTGTCAGAAATTAAAACAATGGTACAGTTGTTATGTCATCAGCTGCTGCATTTTTAATTTAGTTTCTTTAAAAACAACAACAAACTTACCTCTTATAATTAATTCAACCAATCAGGTGAATTACTCCTCCAAGCTAGTGGAAATACAACATTGTCGACTGCCTGGGGTTAATGGAGCTGAAGCCACCTGCTTGTGAACCCCAAGCGAATGCAATGATGTGACCGACATAGCTCAGCCAGCTGAATGGATTGAGTGCACCGAAGAAGCAAGCGGTTGTGTTCTGCACAGGGACTCGATCCCAACTAAGCACCCTTGCCTCCAACACAAAGCAAGCATTCAAACCCGCCAGAGCCTCTGCGAAGGAAGCCTATTCCACAGGTAAAAATAACTAAGGTCCTTTTAAATTCTGTTTTGTTTATAAATAATATGAGCAAATTGTAGAGAAAGATAGGCTGCCTAGAACATGATTTGTAGCAAAGTGATTTACACCTGATAATGTGAAAGTTTTCCTGGAATCACAAAGTAGAGGAAGTGTAAATTCAAAGGATTGTTTTAGATGCTTTACATAACATGACTTTAAAAGTTAGCCTTGCTGCTTATCTGCCTGGAGTAATCCTCCGCTGGGTGAGAGGCAGAGTGCTTTTATAGCATATCGTCTCACTTAATTGTTCTGATAATCCTTTTTGGTAGAGTCTGTCATTATATGCATTTTGCACAGGAGGAAACTGAGGCACAGATCAGGTGGGTAACATGGTGAGGAAGTGGTAGGACTGAATATAAATCCAGGACGCCTGCCTGCAGGGCCTAAGCTCACAGCCATGACGTCATATTGCTCTTTTCATTCATCTGCAGAAGGCTTTTTTAAGAATTATTTTAAATCAAACTTTTAAAAAGGGAGGTTTTTATAGAGGGAAAACAAGCAAAAAGTAGACAAAGAACACTAGCTTGCATGCTTGTGTAGCTGTCAGTGAGACTTACAGCATAAGTTCCTCCATAAATTGCTGCAGACCCATCTCTGTGCGTCTGCGTGCAGCAAATCCACCTGACCTAAGGCAGTTTCTACAGTAAAAGAATTCTCAATCGCAGAAGTGACGGCAAAGGGGCAGTGGTGACACTTGTGGAAGCAGAGGGCACCGCGCATGGGCGATCAGGCGGGTTGTATGGAAGCCCTGCTTTCTTTCAACATCTGCCGTTGTGAAGCCCGGCGCGGGCCGGGGGCAAAACCAAAAACCAGACACCGCTGCTCGGGACTCACTGCCGAGGCGGGAAGCCCGGCTGCGCAGAAGTCCGCACGGCCTCCCTGACATCAACGGTCCTCCTCAGAAACCTTCCTGTTTCCCTTTGCAACCACCACAGTGAGGCGCATAGACGCTTCGTGGCCTTTTCTGAGTTTATCCCCTGCAGGATTCAGGAATTTTAGAAATTTCTGTAGGAACTGTCATGCGAAGACTTCCACTATGGCCCCGAAACGCTTTCCTGCTCTCCCCCTGCTCAACTGCTAGCCCCTCAAGGGCATGGATGGTGTCTTTTTATTTTTTTTATTTTTTTTTTAAGCCCCATATTTGGACGGTGTCTTTTTAAAAACAAAACATTCTCTTATATGTATTTATACTCAGCCAATTTTTAATTAACCATGTATGGACTATCTCCCAGCATGGGGGCCAAAATACAGTATAGGCTAAAACAGGGTTGTATGGCTCTGGGCTAAGAAAATTGTTATTTGTGTGTTATTACATTTTTAAATTGTAAAAAGAAGCCTTTTGGTGAGAAGACACTTGATTTTGCCTCTTGACTCACAAAGCCTAAAATATCTACTGTCTGACCTTTTATAGAAAAAAATTGCCGATTTCTGGCCTAAACCATCCCTGCCAGCTCCTATGTGTGTGTGTGTGTGAGTTTGAGACACAGTCTCACTCTGTCGCCCCGGCTAGAGTGCCGTGGTGTCAGCCTAGCTCACAGCAACCTCAAACTCCTGGGCTCAAGCAATAATCCCGCCTCAGCCTCCTGAGTAGCTGGGACTTCAGGCAGGTGCCACTATGCCTGGCTAATTTTTTTCTATGTATTTTTAGTTGGCCAATTAATTTCTTTCTATTTTTAGTAGAGACGGGGTCTTGCTCTTGCTCAGGCTGGTCTTAAACTCCTGACCTTGAGCGATCCTCCCACCTCGGCCTCCCAGAGTGCTAGGATTATAGGTGTGAGCCACCACGCCCGGCCTGTGTTTTCATGTGGGAATCCCCAAATCTCCTTAAATTGTATTATTTTCAATCATGTAATAAGTACTTCCATACTTAACTGATGCCAATCCATCTTCCTGTGCCCAGCACACTGCCTCTGGCCTAGAACAAAGAAGGTCCTAAAAACATCCTTGTTAAAGAAAGGAATGTTCCATCCCCTTCTCCTCGTGGAAGGAACTCTCCATCCACTCCTCTCGGGTGTCCTTCCATACTGTCACCATGGTTTATCTTTCTCCCTGCCTTTCTTTCTCTACCATTTTCCTCAGGCTTCCCCTATCACACGTGCCACCTTCTCTCGCTCTTTCTTTCTCTGAAATGTAGAGTTGGGCACTATTGAATACTTAAATTTTTTTTTATGCTCAGTTTAGTTCCTGTTCAAAAAAAATTGTAGGTGCCAGCCATTTGTTTAGATGCTAAGAATTCAAACATAAAGAAGACACAATTCTGGCCCTCAGTGAGCTTACAATCTAGAGGGAATACCACTCCCCCTTTTTTTGGAGGCTAATTGAAACAGCAGAACAGAGCAGAGTAGCAGAGGCTATTTTTTTCTCTTTTCAAACAACTGAATTATTTTTTTCTCCCTATGCCACTGTGACTTGACTGGAAGATGGTTTCCAATCCTGGATAAGGAAATGCAAATTAATTTAACATATGATTCCACAGGCATAACTAAGAAGGAACATCTTCAGTTAAAACACAGAATACATTTTAAAACTAAAGGTGGCAGCTTTTGGATTAGAATCTCATTTGAAACAAAGTGATTTACACATTCATGTTATTCTTCCCTTCCATTAGCCAAAACAGCCCAAAACAACAACAACAAAACAAAACCAACAATAATAACGAGAATTGAGCAGACAGAAATAATGACAAATACACATAGGCTATACACACATATATATATATATATACATACATGGGCTAGTTGAATTCTAAAACAGAGGTAAATCTGTGTTCTTCAACTAGTATTAACATTTATTGCTAACCTTCGGTGTGTTTTGGAAGTCAGCAGATATTTACACATTATCCACCTAATGCTGATGAAAGATTATTTCCTGCTTATATCATTTGATACTAGTCTTGGGGCTCTGGTTGCTGTCAAGACTAGAAAGATAACATGTACACTAACCAGTTCTGGTGATTAAACAAACAGAGAAGCACACATACGAGTGCACGCTCACATCCAGCTAGTTGTAATTCTCGGTGTGTATCGGAGACATGGTGGGTGTCAGCTATTCACAGTCATCTGTACGCATATACACAGATACACACGCACACATATATGTACAAGACAGGCATACATTGCCCCAGCAAACCCATTTGAGACTGATCCCCCCCCGCCCCTCTTGTTTTTAAACATGTTGGTGAGACCTGTGTCCCCCTGGTGGTCCTATTCTCACTCTGATCAGGTTTGAGGTCTAACCTTCTCTCCGACTGCTTGGACCCGCCACGGGGGACTCCAGACCTTCAGTGGTTCTTGCCACGTGCCCGCCAGGGGCGGCCAGCTCGTCTTGCCACGGCCCAGCGCCGTTCGCGGACTCCGCGTCCAGCTCAGGGCTCTGCACCGAGTCGGGCACCGACTCGAACGCGCTGTTCTCCTCCTCCTCGTCGTCTTGCGAGGAGAAGACGGTGCTCTCGGAGATCTTGGCGCTGTCCACGGAGGAGAAGCGCGTGTGGCTGGCGAAGCGGTTGCCGTTGTAGCAGGAGGCGCTGTAGCAGGAGCTGCTGTAGCAGGACGTGCTGTAGCACGAGGAGCTGTAGCACGAGGGGCTGCAGCAGGACGCGTCGCAGCCCTCGCAGCTGTGGTCCCCGCCTTGCCGGGGGCTGGAGTCGCTCTCGCTCCCAGTGCTGGGGTGCGTGTCGCCGTCTGGGACCGCGCCGTTGGCGAAGCTGGGGTAGCGGCCCCCGGCGTGGCCAGGGGGCGCCGTGCCCGGAGTGGCCCCCTCGGGCTCGTCCCCATCCTCTTCCAGGACGGGCGGGTCAGCTGCCAGCGTGTCCACCTCGCTGAGCCCGTCCTTCTCCGAGGAATCCTTGAGGGTGGACTCCTCCTCCGCGCCGTCCTCCTCCTCCGGGGCGACCCCGCCGCGGGCCGAGGGCATGCTGTGCAGCAGGGTGTGGATGCGGATGTAGTGTGTCCGCGGGGTCTCGGGGTCCCCGCAGGCCGACGCGATCACCGTCTCCAGCTCGGACACAGGCAAGGAGCATGGCCTGCTTTTTCTCTTCACCGAGCCCCGCAGCTGCAGCCTGCCCCCTCCCTGCTCCAGCGTAGGCACGTCGCCCTCCTCCTCCTCCTCCGGGTCCTTCTCCTCCGCCCCTCCAGCCTGGGTCTCTGTTGCCGCTTCCTCCTCCATGGGCCCCTCGGTGCTGGCTGGAGCGTCCCCGTCTTCCAGCAGCAGTGGCGGCGCCTCCCCACCCAGGTCCAGCTCCTCGGCCAGTTCTTCTGCACTCAGGGCGGGCTGGCTGTCATTTTGCCCCGGGGCCAGGAGCTCCCCGGCCCCTGCAGGTCCCAGCGAGTCGGTGCCATCATCTGCCGCCTGGGCGGTGCCAGCCGCTTCCTCAGCTGGCCTGGCAAGCTCCAGGCTCTCGTCCCCCGACCCGTCCAGGGCGCAGCCGTCACTCGGCGGCTCTGGCTTCCAGCTCTCCGAGGGCTCTGCGGCATCACACGCGGGCTCCCTGCGGCTGCTCTCCACCAGGTTGCTCATGGGGCTGTCCTGAGTTTGTGCCGATTCAGGCTCCGTACTCAGGGACATCTCCTCATCATCTGCCGGCAAGAAGAAAAATATGTCATTCCTTCCAGAAGAGAGCAGTGTGGTATTAATAGACACCTCTGGACAGGAAGCAATCGCTAAGGGATTTCTACATTAGGATATTGGATGTAGGGGTTGATTAGGGTTTCTCACCGGCCAGAGCTCTGCTGAAAAATTCTGTAAGAATGAGGGCTCATTGTGCTAATGACAATGTGCAGTCATTGTGTTAATGACAATGTGCAGTCATGGATATATTTCAGAATTCTGTTTCAAGGGAATTCATTTTTTGGTTAAAATGCTCAAAGTCTAGCACTACTCCAGTTCTGGGCACATAACAGGTGCTCAACAATGTTTGCTACATGAATGATTTCCAGAGATCTGGGTGGTGGTCTTTATAGTTCCTTGATGACCCCTGGAAAAGTTAATTGTATTTGCTCAGAATGTTTCCTCTGGTTGAGTCCTGCAGGGTGGCTGACTGGGTCAACAGGGTTCTTAAGCAACTAGAGAGAGGAAAAAGGCTGGATGATGGATGAGAGCAACCATAGTCATTCAATAGCTCAGGCTGGAAGGTTCCAGCATTTGGAGTTTACTGCAATAAAAAAATAAACTAGGTCTCCACACCAAGCAGCCATTCAAGGAATAGCAATCACTGTTTAACTCTACCTTCCTGCAGCTGTTCTATTGAATTCCTGCCAGATGCAAACTTCCCCATTTCAAATGCACTGGTGCAATTCACTAGTCAAAGAAAAACAGTCCCTTTGGTGAGCTGTAAAGCTGTCCTATGGCTTCACCAAAGAAAGAGTCAGTTTTATTCTCAGAATGCAGAAAAAGGCTGAAGTTGAAAAGCTAAAACAGTCAAGGTGTTTTCTCACAATCTAAGTAGTATATTGGGCATAGAAAAGTACAACTGGAGTTGAATGTGTGGGTTGTGATACACTTCAGACTCCAAGTCCTCAAAACCTTCATTAGCTTTAACAGCGACTCATAAATGTGTCCCAGGAGGCCCTCACAATTCTCAGCATGATCTATACTCAGTATGGGGGTTGTGGGAAAAGAGCAAAAGTGGAATGATGAGGCATCTTATCATTCTTATTTGGAAATATGTTTTGGCATGAAAAACTGAACACTGGATGGTTCTGAAGTTTTCTATCCAATTCATATTTTTCATTTTCTCTGTGATATTATGTATAATCATAGTTCTTCAACAACATGACATTCTTCAGCAACTGACTAGTCTATATCTAGTTACTAGGTAGAAGGAGATGGTCCACAGTCATTCCTCCCTTTGTTCATTCATGTGTGCAATGATTAAACACCTACTGACCACCTCCTTTGTGAGTGCTGGGAGTAGGATGACCAATAAGACAGGGCTCCATATCCATGCTGGCCTCATTGTCAACCCCCATTCAGCTGTGTAACCCTCTATCTTTGGGTCACTATAGTGAAGAGGAGCCTCTCAATCAAGGGGACAGCAACCTGGCTTCCAGACTAGATCTCTGTCCTCTGGGCCTCAAATGGAGAAGATAGAGAACCATAAAACATAGGACGTGTCTGGAGAGAACCACGGTTATTGTATTTTGGAGAAGGAACCACACTATGATACCACCCTAGGACAAGACATGAAGTTCATGCTGAAAATACCTGGGTGGATGGAGGAAGTGATCTCAAATCGGAATTGCAGCTGTCCACTCACATGATCTGTTGGAAGCCTGCGGCCAAGTGTGTAGCTGACCACCCTATCCCTGGAAGGAAATAAGTACCATCACAGATCTGCTCAATACTTGTCCTCTTAATGACCACACAGTGTGCTTTCTGTGCCAGTGGCAGAGGCAGGCAAGCCCCGGGAGGTCCTGAGAATAGGAGGTGATGATGGGCTCAGGTACATAGGAGACCATCCTAAGGTGGAGATGGGAAAGCACACGTGCTCAGCAGCAGTACCAAACGGTAGGGAAATCCTTATCGAATACAGATGCTCCTCGACCTACAGTGGGATTACGTTCTGACAAACCCATGGTAGATTGAAAATATTGCAAAGTCAAAAATGCACTTGATACACATAATCTACTGAGTATCATAGCTTAGCCTAACCTACCCTACACGTGCTTGGACCATTTACAGTAGCCTATGGGTGGGCAAAATCATCTAACACAAAGCCTGTCTTATAATAAGGTGCTCAATATCTCATGGCGTTTATTGAATATGGTACACTGTGGAGTATGGTGTTGGCTGTTTATCCTCGTGATCGTGTGGCTGGCTGGGAGCTGTGGGTCTCTGCTGCTGCCCAGCATCACAAGGCAGCATGGCACAGCATAAAGTTAGCCCAGAAAAGGTCAAAATTCAAAATTTGAAGTATGGTTTATACTGGATTCATATCACTTTGGTACCATTGTTAAGTAAAAAAATTCTTAAGTTGAACCATTGTAAGTCAGGGACTGTGTTCTAAAGCGGTAGTAGGCAAACTACAGCCTGTGGGCCAAATCCGGCCCACCCACCACCTGTTTTTGTATCGCTGCAAACTTTTTATATTTTTTAATGGTTGGAAAAAGAAACAAAAGAAGAGTAATACTTTGTGGCATGTAAAAATTAGATAAAATTCAAATTTCAGTGTCCATAAATAAAGTTTTATTGGAGTGCAGTCCTATTTATTAGCTCGCATATTATCTGTGGCTACTTTCATGAGACAATGGCAGAGGTGAGTAGTTTGGACAGACACTGTGTGGCCTGCAAACCTAAAATATATACCGCCTGGCCCTTTATAGAAAGTTTGCCTACACAGTTTGCCAAGCTGTGTTCTAAAGCACAGGGAGAGAGAGAGACAGACAGAGAGAGAGAGAGAGGAGAATAAATAAAGACATGGATGTCCTTTGCTTGCTGCTTCTGTGTAGACTGCCATTTTCCAAATATGCTCTTAACAATGGACAGTGCCAGCAGATGCATATCTGTGGAACACATGTCATGTCTAAGAAAGGATGCTGTCATGGTTACTGGAGGGCCCGTGGGTGCTGTGGAAAAGGCATCTGCTGCAGGACGGAGCAGACCAAGACTCGTGGGCTGGCTTCTCTAGCCTGTGACTTCCAGTCAACACCAATTGCAGGGCTCCCACACATAAAGAACCCGAGTCTCCACCCTGGACACTGGTGTCATCCCCCCTACCCACTCAAAGCAATTGCTTTTTCTTTTTTGTAGACACAGGGTTGCTTTGTTGCCAAGGCTGGTCTTCAACTCCTGGCCTCAAAGCGATCCTCCTGCCTTGGCCTTCTAAAATGCTGGGATTACAGGTGTGAGCCACTGCTCCTGGTCTGAAAGCAATTTCTTAATTACTTAAAAGAAAACTATCCAGGGGGCATCAACCTGAAGCTTTGAGGTTACATTTTTATCAATAATATAGCTTCAGCAGAGTAAATTGCCCCCTACACTTTGGCCTAAATAGGAGTGACTACCTTGGGCTTTTCAGGAATTAACAAATCCAGTGTACCCAATGACAGCAAAAACAAATCCCCAAACCAGTGTTTACTCAAATGATTCTCTATTTATTCCATTTATCAAGTTGTGACATTCAAATCAAAAGATAAATCACTGGCTCGTAGTGTTTTAATGTTTCTTTCTAGAGAATACTGGGATCATGAAACAAACAAAATTATATCCTAATGATCCACTAACATAACACAGGGCATCCCAAAAGTCTCCATGTGTGGCGACTTTTTGGGACACCCTGCATTGTTCTTTGATAAGCCATGATTCAGTGTTTGGAGTTCCCCTGAAGGCTGTTAAATAAAGCATCATATGAGGAAAGTATTTTGTCTATTTAGAAAGGGCCTTCCTCAGTATTATGAAGTAGGCCTGCTATGACCATAAGAAAGACATCCTGAACCTCAAACTTGATTAAAATCAGGGGAGGCCTAAAGATCATCAGATAGTGAAAGAAAAACTCACTTTATTATGCTTTGTATTTGCTTCCCAGGCTTTTCTTTCCTTTGCTTTTCACCCACTCAATCAATAAATACTTCTGGGGCCACTGCCACGTAAAAGGTGCCGCGGTTGGTACAAACGGGTGCGGGCGAAGTCAGGGTTAGAGGCAGAGAGCCGGCTGAAGGCTGGGATGTTACAGGCAAAGGAATCCAGGGAGCACTGGGAGCGAGAGAGCGTGTGTGTCTGCAGAGGAAAGGTGCAAATATCTGAGGGTGGAGAGGCAGCCGGTGGAGAGCAATGGGTGCAGGGGGCTGGATGGGGAGTGCATTTGCCGAGGGCAGAGGGAAGCTGGATTTGCACTAAGGGGTTCTGCCATGGCCCAGGCTGCATGGCCATCACATCCACATCCTGCTCCTGCTTGCGTGGGGACACCTTCAGAAGGGGCAGCATTGCCGAAGTGGCCTCCAGGGGCCTTGGCAAGCAGCAGGTTTTGGAGGAGCCACCCTGCCCAGCCACCAGGGGGCAGTCTGTCATCCCATCAGGGAAGGGGAGAGGAGACACCCCAATGGCTTGCTCTTCCTTCCTCTTAGAGAGTTTGAAGCTCAACACGCTCCGTCTGTGCTCTCCATTTCCCTGGGGGGTAAGAACGCTGGAGAATCATAGCTGACCTTCTGGTAGGGGACACCTCCTCGACCTCAGTTACTTGCTCTCACCACCTGTGGGTGTGCCTTTCCACAGGAGGCGGCTGGGAGGGTGGGAAAACTACAAGAAGAAATGAGCCAGCAGCTTCAGCTTGAGAAAAGTTCTCGCCATGGAGAGCAGACGGCTTCTCTCTGAGGCTGTGGCAGGCAGGAGAGGACGGAATACGTAACCCGCAGTGGGCAGCAGTGTGCTCGGTGCGGGGGCACACAGAGCCCTGTCCAGCCCTCTTTTTGTCCTCCAGTCCCCTCCCTGGAAGAGGTGCTAACAGCCGTGATTGCGGAGGAGTGGAAAGCAAGAGAGTCCGTCCCGGAGCCCTGCGAGGAGCCTGTCGATCAGGGGCAGCACTGGGCTTTGGAGGGAGGCAGGGGTGCGTCTGCACTCCGGCGGCATCTCTGCCACTTACAGGCAATTATTCATCCTTTCTAAGCCTTGTTTCCTCATAGGGAGGCGCAGAGATAATGCTGAGTTGCAGAAAAAGAGTCATGAGGACTAAGTGAAATAACAAAGGTCACAAGGAATATCATTTGCTTCTGAGTTCCTACTACGTGCCAACAACTGTGCCAGGTTGTGTATAGGCCCTTTTGGTCTGGTGAATCCTCACAACCACAAGTGGACAGTGTAAACACCGAGTTTGACACACGGCCGCAGCACCATAAACGTCAGCTCCCTTTGGCTCGAGAGTTAATGGCATGTCTACGTGCACACAGTGGCATGTAAGCTATAAGGTCCTGATTAAATGTCCTTATGATAATCAATAGTGATTCTAAAGTCCTGAAAATTCAAAGAACTTTAAGACACTTGGAAATTCTGCATAGTTTTTCTCATTCCTTTGATATCATTCTAAGGGTGAGATTGCATATAAGCATATGTTTATGAACAGAGAGCTATATAGTGCTTTCAAATATAGGTTGCTGTTTCCCAAGGCAAAACGTATTATTCATAAGCATTTTATCTGGTCATAGTCCACTGGAATGAGAACCACGAGTGGACATGAATGTAAAAGACAAAATGCAGAAACATATTTCCATACACAATGGAATTCTGTGGGCAACGTAACTGCTGTCATTTCATGAGAATTTATGCTTTCAAATTTCCGTCCATATTATCTAGCATTTTCTGTAAATACTAGCATCTTTGAAGATACTCTACCCTAGTAACCTGGCATTTCATCTTGTTATGGAAATGTTGAATATGATTAAATCCTACATATGAGACGGGCATATGAATGAAATAATATTCTTCATAGTAAAACAAACTTTAGTTTCTACACGTACAGAAAAATACAGCATCGAGGGCTTCTTTTTATACTGTCTTAAGACTTTTTTACTCTCTTGCCTAAGTAGCCAGTTGATACACAAACAAGGAGAAAGGGAAGGCTTTGTTTAATTGAATGCTGTGGCTTGGGCAATGCCATTAATGGGAGAAGCCAAGGAAATATAACAGCACCATTTTTGTGTGACTGTCTGTGACACTACTCTCCTGCAGCTTCCCCGGGCGTGGCCTGTTGGCTGAAGCCTAGTGACAGTGAGATCTCGGGCACAGGTTTACCCGATGGCGTGTCTCTCCAGGAGTCTCTGAACAGGCATCGACAGCTTTCCCAAGAAGCGCTTGATGATGGGACGGCTCTTGGCGAACTTGTCCTTCACCTCGATTTCCAGCACGTCAGTGGGCAAGGACACAAAACTGAATTGCTGCAAAGAAAGAATATGTGACATCAATTAACTGAGAGGTGCAAGAGCTGCCCAATGCCCGGTCCATCCGCCTTCCTTCACTGTAAAACACCCCAGCTGCAGGCTGGCTCGCTCTCTCGTGCTCACTCGTGCTCTCTCCCTCCCTCCAAGATGCTTCCTTAGGGCTTAAAAATAGGGTTATTCTTTGAGATTCAAACAATAAAATCAGCATAACTTAATGAGAAAGAATGCCACCCAGGCCTCATCATACTTGACTAAAGTTTTATCATAGTAAGAACAAGCACAAACTCACCTGTAACTAATAAGCACACTTTCAATCAACAATGCAATATATTCTTTCCTTATCATAATGGCAGACATTTTTAAAAGTCTGATAGTACCCCACGTTCTTTAGAGCGGAAAAGACAAGAACTCTCACACTCTGTTGGTGGGAATGTAAATTGATTTGACCTTTGGAAAGGAAATTAGCAATATTTATTGGCATTTAAACTGCAAATTCCCTTCAACCCAGAATTCTACTTCTAGGAATTTTCCTACTAGATTAACTTGAACAAATGTGTAAAACATATGTTTTACAAAGATGGATGTTCATTGGAATATTATTGATAAGACCAAAAGAATGGAGAAAAGCAAACCTGTCTATCAATAGGAAACTGGTTAAATGCAGGATAGTAAGTCTTTGAAACAGAACTCTACCATCGTTAAAAAGAAAGTGGTAAATCAATAGGCACCAACATGAAAAGATACCTGACAAATGAAGTGAAAAAGCAAAGCACAGAAGACTACGAAGAGTGGGATTCCATCTGTATCCCGAACTGCAGAGAAAAAGGCTGGAGGGACACAGTCCAAACTCTGAACTCTAGGGAGTGGGCTGCTAGAGGAGAGGAGAAGGCAGGTCTCTTACATTTTATTTCATTTGGTTCTAAACCACTCATTTGTTAAATAGCACACAGTGTGACTTTAAAAATAAAAGCAGCAATAATTAAAATTAAAGGAGGATTGTGACCATCAGAACTTGGCTAGGTCAACAATAAAAGTGTAAAAATGGGACCCAAGAAGGTAAATGTTGGCATTGCCCAGCCCAGACTATTTGGGTGCAAGAAGTCTTAATTAGCACTGAACATCACAATACCCTTAATTATGGGCTGGGAAACACCTAAAATATATAAATATTTTCTTTTATTCAGCTTGATTGCTAGCAGCAAGCTTTTAGCTTTAGTTGATTTCTCTTTACAGAGATTAAATATGTTGGGCACGCAAATGTCAGTTTCTCTTCTGCAGCAGTCAGGATGCAATGGTCCAACTTTTTGGCGCTACAGACCAGTTTCTTAGAAGACAACTTTTCCACGGTGGGCATGGGGGTGGGGGTGGGGCAGTGGGCGGGGTTGGTGGAGGTGTTGAGGGGAGTGCGAAGCTTAGGCGGTGATGCCAGCGATGGGGAGCAGCTGTAAATTCAGATGAAGCTTTGCTTGTCCACGGCCACTCACCTCCTGCTGTGCAGCTGGTTCCTAAGTTTCATGGAAGACAATTTTTCCATGGTGGTGGGGGGTATGTTGGAGGGTGTGGGGACCTGCGGGGAAGTGGAGCTCAGGCAGTGTTGCATGACCTGGTTCCTAACAGGTCACGGACCTATATTGGGCTGTGGCCGGGGAGTTGGGGACTGCAGAGCTAGAGCATGCCGCAGGGACAACCAACTTCCAAGTCTTGGGGACTTTAGATAGAAATGTTGTATTTCTTGCTCACACTCCTCACTGTGTGTGGGCTCAGGGAGCGGCCATCCTCTCAAACATTGCTAGTCACAGTGACAGACGCAAAGAGAGCTCTGGAGGCTCTTCCTCTTGCAAATAAGTGTCCACTCCCAAACACAACTCCTCGTCAGAACTAGACAGGCCCCAGCCAGGCACAGGGAGCGGGAAGTATGATCCTGTGGTGGGCCTAGGAGGTAGAAAGTAGGAATGTTTGGCAAACAGGGCTAATAACTTCCACAGTCTCCATGTGGTGCATCTAATGTCTGTAGACAATCCCTAAGAACCAATCATCCTCAGAACTGACAAAACTGAATTCTGGGCATGTCACATTTGAAGCTCAAATCCAGGAATAGGTGCTACTCTAGGAAGGCCTGCCTAGGTGAGAATCCAGCCCCTTAACCAATTCAGGTCCTCAAAATGTCTAAATCTTTGGTTCAGTTATTCCATTCTGGAGCATATTATAATTAATCTTCTAAACTAAATGCCCAAGAATAGGTTAGTTACATCATAGTATATGCATATGATAGAATAGTTTATATTTTTCTAAATGATCATAATTTATATTATGATAATTTATACATAAATATGTACAATTACAATATAATTATAACGTGCTAAATGCTGATAAGATATAAAATGCTTGCATTAGAATAAGTGAAAAAAGCAGGACAAATAATTACATACATTCATGATCGCAATAACATGAGTTACATGAATAGAAAAAAGACTGGAAAGAATCACAACAAATTTTAATAGCAGTTGTTTTATCAGGTAAGAATATGTTTTTCCCATTTCCTTTTTCTGTATTTTTCATGTTTTCTATAATATAATGAGCATTTATTATTTTCATTATGAAAAACCTAATTACCTTTATTAAGATGAGACTATTTCTACCTACAGTTGCCTGCATGAGACACTAAAGTTAGCTTATCAAAATATACCCCGAAACTCAGTGGCCACTCCTGGGTTCTTTCTTCCCTTCAGAGAACTTTCTTCTTAACTTCTCTTCACATACTCACAACATCAACTTCTCTGCACCTGCCCTATCTCCATGCCATGGCTATTGGAGCCATGTAAACCCTCAGCTGGGCCAGGCTCTGTTTAGAACTAGTGAGTAGCCCTGAAGAGATAAAAGCCTGTCATTCATGGGCAAGCTACTTGCATCCATGAGCATCCATGGGTGATGGATTTTGCCCGGCTGCCTCTGCTGACCTGGCTTTGATGTCAAGCCTCTGAAGGACTTTTGGAGTATGGTGAGCCCGGTTTCATTGCTAGCTCTGCACATTCAAGTTCCTGACTCTATCATTCACAACCTCTTCAGCCTCTTCATCTGTAGAATGGGAAAATCAGGCCCCTGCCAGAGCTTGGACTTGTCCCAAAGGCATCTGGGAGCAACAGGAAGATCTGAATTATGCAAATGACACATTCAGATTTATAATTCCGAGAAGCTGCTGTGGCAGTGCTGAGGAGGTGGCCCGTGGAAGGGTCAGGCCTGGAAGAGGCATATCAGGTGAAAGAAGTGGGACAGGAGGAGGAAGCCTGGCGGGCAAGGAGAGAAGAGTGACAGTGCTGTGGGCTGCTGAAATGGCATCAAGGGCTGTGGTGTGTGGGCGAGGAGGAGGTCGCAAACTCCGAAGACTGGATTCCCAAGATTGCGGGCGCATGGGAGGACTGAGATAGCCAGAAACAAAGAGGGGCTGATGACTGAAAGCCCCAGAGCAACCCAGGGACAGAGTGGTGGCAATGGGGGCTCGGGTCTGGGAGGATGGAAGGCGGGACGGAGAGAGCCGCACTTGTGATGTAAGTGCGGGTGGGTGCTGGTGGTGGGCAGAAGCGAAGGCCGGCGGGATCGGGAGGGCAAGGAAACCGTCAGACGTTCACACGGTCCTTGATCATCCAGAGAATTGTAGGTCTTGGATGTTGTTAGAGAAAAATAAAAATGGGGACCACAGTTTAGATATACCCCAAGGCCACCAGCCCATAACCATGTAACCAAACTTAAGTCATCCTAATTTCCTTGAAAGGCTATTTCTAATCACACACACAAAATGAAAGCTTTACATCCGTGTCCACATGATTCAGTGAAATTAAACCAATCAGCTATAGGCAAGTTAGTTTTAACAGCTCTGTTTTCCATGAAAAAAAAAATGATAACATATAATAGCCCAACATGAAAAAAGTAAAAATACTGCCTCCTTTATGCTTTGTGCACTGTGTTGTAACTTCTGTTAAGGGAGCTTCTTACCATTGACATCTCCCAGATCATGATCTGTATTTTCTGTATGACAATAAACTTTAAAATTTCCTCTAACTTGATCTGATTTTATTTTTGATATCGTAATGGGATGCCATAGGTCTGTGGTCCCCAAGCCCCAGGCCACAGCCTGGTACTGGTCCATGGCTGTTAGGAACTGGGCCGTGCATCACTGCCTGAGCTCCACACCGCCTTCCCCCACCCCTCCCTGTCCATGGAAAAATTGTCTTCTGTGACACTTAGGAACCTGGCTGCACGGCAGGAGGTGAGTGGCAGGTGAGCCAGCGACGCTTCATCTGCATTTACAGCTGCTCCCCATCGCTCCCGTCACTGCCTGAGTTCTGCCTTCTCCTCCCCACCCCCTAGTCCCTGGTGCCAAAAGGGTTGGGGACCGCTGCCATAGGTAGAAAGGTCTCTACTGGTTGTGACAGTGTAAATAATGGGACCTGTTATTGCCTTGAAGTAGCTAAGATGATAAGGACATCAATGGGAGGGTGATAATGTAATCGAAAGGAGAACACGGGTGTGAGAAATTCAGAGACATGATCGACATGAGTTAGAAAGTATTTTCACTTAGGCATTTAGGGAGGGGTGTGAGAGAAGACGACTCCAGTCTGAGAGAGTGGAAGTACGATGATTCATGTATGCTCACTTGGAAATTTATGAAAATCAGGAAAGGTCAAGAACAGAAAAATGGTAGGGACAGTTAATTTGGTTTGGTTCGTGTTGAGTTTGAAGGAGTTGAGGGTATTCACAGTAAGGCAGGAGTACCAATTAGAAGCCGAGATCAAATGCCTTTGCACGCGGAAGGAGTGGTCTTAACTGTTCCGGGACGTAGGCCATAACATGTAGTTCGAGAGGCATCTAGTTTTGTCTTTCCTGTCTTGCAGCCAGACATAAGGGGGGAAAATAAAGCACTAGTTTCATTCGCGAGAGGCTGCCTGGTACCACTCAGCCAACACCATAATGTGCTACTGATGAAAGTTAAATGGACCGGG